TGTGAAAAAGACAGGATAAATACTGACACCTGACTCCACTAAGGGGGCCAGGATTTGGTTAGTGTGGCCCCGTTAGCCCTTACTTGCATACTACACACACTGTTGTGGAAACCATGAAACACTTTTTTTTTAAAGAATTCTTTGATGAATAGAAAGCTCAAAAGAACTGCATTTATTTTAAATAGAAATCTGTGTAACATTATAAATGTCTTAAACCGTGACTTTTGATCAATTTAATGCATCCTTGCTGAATAAAACATATACATTACTTAAAAAAATAAAATAAAATAAATAAATAAAATAAACTCTTACCGACCCCAAATATAATTTAATGAAATGACATCACTGCTTATAATTTCAAATAAAACTTCTAAGGTGTATTCATCTGTAACCAAAAATATTTTAAAACTATATACTTTGTGTCTGGATTAAAGATTACAGAGACACAAGAGAAAACAAAAATCATTAAATCAGCATAAGTCAACAAGCAACTATTCAACATTCAAACCTTTAAACATCTGAAAAAAGGGCTATTCAAACTGGAATGTTGAAAAACAATATGTTTTAAAGGCAACCTGGGGTCGAGGAAATTCAAAATAACTGAAATTCCTAATGCCTTTGGTGTTGTCAACCACACTTACAGGAGAATCTGTACTGAACATTCCATGGGCCTGTTGTTGAAATTAACCAAACACAAAATGAAAGCTGCTTCATGCGACATATTGACAGTGTAAGGTCCTGTTGAATATGTATACGTGTGCCTGACTATAAATGTCAGAATAACAGAATTGAGCTTAGGGTTGTAAAATTACAATAGCATCTGGTAAACATGCGCTGTCAACAACATATACTGTACAGTTCACAAGAAGTAAATCTACACAATATTTATCAGGACAATTATTTCTGTCCTGATTTGTGTTATTTTTTCGGCTGTGTTAGATAAGGTTAACAACTGATGAAAGTTGTAACAGATTGTTAAGCCCATGTCAATACCTGAACATATCCAAAATCCTTCTTAAATCTTATTCCTAAAATGTGACCCTAGACCACAAAACCAGTCTTAAGTTGCGCGGGTATATTTGTAGCAATAGCCAAAAATACATTGTATGGGTAAAAATTATCGATTTTTCTTTTATGCCAAAAATCATTAGGATATTAAGTAAAGATCATGTTCCATGAAGATATTTTGTAAATGTCTTACCATAAATATATTAAAACTTAATTTTTGATTGGTAATATGCATTGCTATGGACTTCATTCGGACAAATTTAATGGCAATTTTCTCAATATTTTGATTTTTTTGCACCCTCAGATTCCAGATATTCAAATAGTTGTATCTCGGCCAAATATTGTCCTATCCTAACAAAAATGGAAAGCTTATTTATTCAGCTTTCATATGATGTATAAATCTCAATTTCGAAAAATTAACACTTATGACTGGTCTTGTTGTCCAGGGTCACAAATATGCATGAACATTTCAGCACCATGGACAGCAACATTTGCATACACTTGCCTGTATGTACACTAGCGGTCAAAAGACTGAAATAATTGCAAATTTTTTTTTGATGCTCACCAAGGCTGCATTTATTTCCTAAAAATACAGCAAAATCATTAATAGTGTGAAATATTACTACAATTTTTTAAAACTGTTTTTTTAAAATACATTTTAAAATGTAATTTATTCCTATGATGGCAAAGCAGCCGTTACTCCATTCTTAAGTGTCACATGATCCTTCAGAAATCATTCTAATTTGGTGCCCAAGAAACATTTCTTATTATTATCAATGTTGAAAAAAGTTGTGCTGCTTAATTTTTTTGTAGAAAATGTAACACACTACCATATCGGGGTAAGATTAAAATAATAATAAAGAATAATAATTTTATTCAACAAGGATGCATTAAGTTGTTCAAAAGTGAAAGTAAAGACTTTTATGAAGTAACATTATAAATAACATTCATAAAAGAATCCTGAAAAAATGTATCACAGTTTCCACAAAAATATTAAGCAGCAATAACTCTTTTCCACATTGATAATAAGAACCATTATTAAAAATTGCACACCAATAATAATTGATAACTGAGCACCAATATTGATAATAATAAAAAATGTCAACATTGATAATCACAAGAAATGTTTCTTGAGCACCAAATCAGCATATTAGAATGATTTCTGGACGATCATGTGACACTGAAGACAGGAGTAATGGCTATTGAAAACATCATAGGAATAAATTATATTTTAAAATATATTAAAATAGAAAACAGTTATTTTAAACTGTAATTATATCTCACAACATTACTGTTTTACTGTATTTTTGATCAAATAATCCAGCCTTGGTGAGCATAAGAGACTTCTTTCAAAAACATTTAAAAATCATTATTCCAAACTTTTGACCGCTTGTGTATCTATAATCAATTTCCCTTCTCACATTCAACTTTGATGCACATATGAATGCTAAGATACTATTTTCCTTTCTCGCCATTTCTATATCACTCCAGCAAACATGCGCTCAATCGTATCACTTCAAAGATAATCTCAAGAGAGATGAACTATTCCATACAGCCTGCATAAGCAGTCATGTATACACAGGCGGAGTGTGTGCGCCGACATGTACGGATATGCCTGTACCGGTAATGTTTCATATTGTTTTCTATTCCTGTCAGTCCCTGGATGCTTAACTGTCTCACAGAACAATAATCACACTGACTGCTGTAATCCCTACAGTGCACAGAGGTTTCACCGATATCCCCACTGTGCTGGGATGCGTTGAGCTTTGCTGAGCTGAACCAACCCAAGCCACACACATACACACATCCTCGTCCTGCCTGGATCACTGCTATTAACAATACAGGCCAAGTAATCCTAATTTGTACCTCTAAAGAAAGATAATCCATTGTACAGAAATAACTAATCTGTAAAGAGCAAACACCATTCTTAGGTGGGAAAATCCTGTTAGCGAGCGTCTGCTTGATTACCTTATCATTAGACTTCCCGTGCCAAAGCGCTCTAAGTTCAGTCACATGGCTAACCTCATCAACCAGGCTAATGTCTGCAGTACTGTTGATTTCAGCAACAAATTGAGTTAATATTTCATGCTGACAGGGTCATTTTTACTCCACGGGAGAACTAACGCTAAATGTGGCTACAGTAAATAATTCACAAACCTGATAAGACTAAGCTTGGCCGTGTTTAATTATTAATGATCTTAATATTGCAAAATGCACTGATCAATGCATCTCTACAGTGAGTGGGAGAAGTGAGTGAAAGGAAAGACGTGGGCAGAACAGTTGGGCTGAGTGGCATTGCATTACAGACTGCTCCAATCAGAGCAGCGCACATCTCACATGACAACAAGTGCTGGATGATGCAATAACATAGTTTGGAGTTTTTTTCTTACAGATAGAACTAAATCAAAAGTAATACAAGCTAAAAGCTCATTAACCTGGAAAACCAGCTAAATTTCAAAATATTTAAAATGAGAAACCACACCAGATATTATGGAAGTATGTTTCTGCCATGGGATAAAAAAAGTTAATTGCGACTTTTTATTTCACAGTTCAGACTTCCCAGACTTCCTTAGAATTGCAAGAAAGTCCGAATTCTGAGTTTATATCTCACAATCCTGAGTTTATATCTTGCAATTCTGACTCTTCTTATAATTTTGAGAAAAAAAAATCTGAATTGTGTCATAAAAAGTCAAAATTATTAATTTTATTTTGTGGCAGAAACAGGCTTCCATGGGATATGGTCTGTTTTTTTTTTTTAAGTTGTAAGAGAATTATTTTTTGTGATAGCGTGGGCAATGTGACTTTCACTGCTCTGAGATCCAATGGACGTGTTTGGGGGTAATCTAGGATTAGCGCACCTTGTTCAAACTCTCACCTTTAAAGGTAAGAGCACAAGAGCCAGACATCAAACCTCCACCGCACATATGCTCTAAATTGACACAATGCCAGAGCAAATCAAAGCCAGGGTATCTGAAATCAGATTAAGCCTTTATAAAGAATTCAATATGAGAATAGTCACGTCAAAATCTAAAAATAAAGTGCAAGTATGTCAGTTGTGATCCACACTGTGACAACTGTCTGACACACTTCATCATGCTATCATGCTACCTAGATGAGGACAGATACTGAGCAATTTCATCATGTCAGTGTCCATCAACTTTACAACTGCATAAACACAGGTCCAGGTAACTGATGATCACTTATGTCACAGTCAAGCTGTGTCTTTAGCATATGTGTCCATCCCCTTGTGGGACTCTAAGCTGCAGCATCCTCCTTTCAGTGCCCAGGTGAGAGGGCTAACCATCTGCATATTCATGACTGTGAAATGGACACGGTCGCCATGGAGACAAACCCGTCTTATATGCTGATGTGGACATGGACCACTGAGGACTTTTGATACAACGTTTCTGACAGGTATAATCAAATCAGCATGAGTTCTACAGTCAAAATAAAGTCAAATATAGATAAACAAATGTAACACAATCAGCATAGACAACATATTGTATCATCTAATGCTCCAAATCAAACTTTTAACAATGTTGAACAAAAAAACAACTGTGTTCACTATCTAATGAACCATAAACACTTTAATACAGTCAGTAATCACAAACTTTGACTGGCAAAAAATACACTGATACAGTTTCTAGTTCTAAGACAAGTAGGATATCTTTCAAGCTTTTTTCAAATCATAATAAAAGTGATCATCTGACATTGGAAGTGATTTGCTAGTGCTGAACTGCACTTTGAAAGCATTAACATGATGAGAAAACACCACATCCTCCATAATATAGCACTGATAGGATTTTAATATTAAAAACACTTTCCTTACTAGACCTGGGCATTAAAACAGACTGAGCAAAGCTCTATCACTCACAGGCAGACGAAACTAAGCTATGAGGTTCCAGTACCATGGACAGCTGTTTCTGGCAGTGTTTGATGGCCTGCTACTTATAAATGGTTCAATAAATAATTAAAGATATAAACAGACATACCATGTTGACCTCAGACACCATGTCTATGCTTGCCACATCGATGCTCATGCCAACTGCCACCGGTGCGCCTTAAATGAGAAGAAAAACTTAATCCTCAAGTTCACTCAAACCATTTATTTATTTTATATCAATCTTAAAAACAATCTTGAAATATTTATGTAAGATTAAAAGTAAGAAATAATGACGTGAGCATCATCATACCTCCAAAGTCCGGTCGAAGACGAATGTCATAGCCTTTCAAAAGCTTGTCCACTGTCTCTTTGACAAAAGACATGTTTCCTGGTTCATTGGCGCTGAAAAGAAACAACAAAGAAGGTTATTTCCATCAGATTAGAGCCCAGGAGGTCTATGCTCTCGCGCCATGGTCTCCACCAGCTCTTCTTACCTTTGAGCACAGCAGATCACTGCCACAATTACCGGTAATGAAAGAACACCAAACAGCCTTCGCTTCTGTATTCCAAACATTCCTTATACTCTTTCAGGCAAGGAATCGAGCGACAAAACGGACGTTGTAAGGTTTCCTTGCGTAGGTAACAGGTTACGTTATTCCAT